TTATTTTCGCACGCGAAGTGGGTCCGAAGCGGTTGTAGCATCGGCAGGAATTTGCGCCGTAGTCTTAGACTTCGGTCGCGGAATAGGAACGTGCTTAGCATCGCTCAAAGAAACAGCCTTAGTCTTAGCTATAGGCTTAGGAACCATTTCCAGAAAGTCGAGTCTAAGACTCAGACAATGGGCGAGTAACTGCTGCGGCGCAATGTGAGGCGAGGACCGAACAAATGATCGTCGATACCAAAATGTAACAGCCGTCTCTTACCTTAGCTGTTTTAGCGGAAGTAGAGGGTCTCGTCCACGATTGGCGACCCAGCGTTAGGCGTGAGAAGAGACAAGGGAAGTCGGGATTCGAAGACATACGTCGAGAACGGTGACAGCAAGGTCTTGAACCCTGAACACTAGTATAGTGATACGTTAAGTGTCTGGCCGAAGCACTTCACCTGGGTGGCTTAAATGCGGCCCACCTGCCGCCATCTCCATTCCTGGAGTCTTGGTGCCGTACGCTAGGTTGTGATAGCGTACCAGAAAGTGAGTTCGTACAGTTAACGAGTATGGTTCGTAAATACGGGACCGTACCGTTACTGTGATTAAGCTTTAATAGCTTAAAGATATTCTAAGGTAAATGTAGCTTGCTACACCGCCGTATGAATGCTTCTCTCCCCCCCTCCAGCTGCAGTGCCCTCCGCCTGCTCCTCCGACACCACCACCTCCGCGCTGCCGCCACCTACGATCTGCGCCACCGTGTTACTGTGTGTGTGTGTGTGTGCCCCGCGCACCCCGTCACTTTTGCGGTTGTAATTCACTGTTCTGTCGTGACAACAGAACCTTGCACCTTCCCGCAGTTCCCTCCTCTCGGAAATCGTACATACCCATAGTATGGGTCCCATACCTTTTACGTGCGTACATACATACATGCATACACACACACGCACCCCCTCAGGAGATTTGCCACCCCTGGGCCCGGGGTTTCGAGGACACCCTCGCCGGGCATTGCTCAGCGCTAGCAGCCGCGGCCCTGCCGCCGGCCCCGCCATGGGCCAAAAACACACGACTGGGCGTGGTGTACGACAAGGTACGGCGAGCCCCCTCTCTGTCTGCCCCTTCTCCGCCCTTTACCCCGCCTTTCCCCCCCCCCAAGCCACCACCACCACCACCACCACCACTATTCATGTAGTCGGAGGGCAAGCCAGGGTTCCAACGGAGCCATTACCCCCCTCACTGCCGTTCTAGCGAAGTGAACACCAAAGCCGAGGTCGCCGCCACCACCGCCACCGCCCCGCTCCAGGACCAAATTACACGCATACACACACACACCTACGTACGCACTTCCTCCCTCCCCCAGCCCCCCACCCGCCGCCCCCCCCCTCG